AAACCGCTAATACATCGTGGATCAGGGCTGCACAGGCTATAACATGTCCCTAGATAGCGCGTTTTAACCCAAGGGTTATCGGTGACGACAGTTTCAAACGTTTCCCAGCAGTAAGAGCATACGGCCTATTGAGGTCAATCCCCCTTTTGATATTACACGCCTAAAATAGCACCGATTCACATTAATCATGTCTGAGACCGCTACGCAGGCGAAACAAAAGCGGAGATACGCACTGGGGAAGCTTACAAGAGCAAGGCATCGTGCATTACTGATGGTCAATGGTGACAGAAGCAGCGCAGAGTTGTTGAAGGTTCTGCCAGAACTTGATGAAGCTTTCCTGGACTTGCAAGTAATAAATGATCAATATATATTTGCCCTAGAAGATACAGATGAGGTAAAAAGGGCCCAAAATTATATAGCAGAGGCAGAGCTACAGTATCAACAAATAGTGACTCAGATAGAGCAACGATTGTCAGAAACTAAGACAGAACATGATCCTTTTGTTGATGGCTCACAGTGCTCTTCTGCAAGGTCACAAATGTCTGAATCGAAGAAAGCAGAGATCTCTCTGAAGGTGAAGGAACTAGAAGTAGAACAACTAAAAAGACGGCATGAGCGAGAGAGGAAGGCAGAAGAACTAAAGCGAGCCAATGAATTGGAAAATGCACGGGATATGAGAGAAGCAGCCGAACTGGAAGCAAGACTCACCGTAGCAGCTGAAAACCAGCTGGAATGGGAGAGACAGAATGACTTCATCGGGGAAAAAGAAGACAATCTGTGCAGTCCGAAGAAGATGGAAGGAACGCAATCATCTTCTATAATTCCGGCTGTTGCTGTCAGTGTTAACCAAGTCCCCGCCATTGCCGAGGTGGTTCACCGACCCGATGACTCCGCTGGCGCTAGCTGCGGCTTTCTGAGAAATCTTCCGCGGCTCGAGCTAACCAAGTTTAGTGGTGCTCCGGGGGAATGGCCACGGTGGTTTGCTTTATTCCAAGCCCTGGTTGGCAATCAGGCATCCCTGTCGGATGCAGAAAAGATGGCGCATCTGCAGGGTGCTGTTATTGGTCCGGCGCAACAAACTATTGCTGGCCTGCTGTATGATGGTCGGCTTTATCATTCAGCACTTACTGCACTTCAAGACCGGTACGGCAGGCAGGAAGACATAGTGCATGCAAATATGAGAACGGTATTCTCCTGTCCACCGCCCACCTATCTCGACCCTGAGTCTATGGATCGGTTCCATGCTGCCGTCCACTCGGCTGTGTCAGTGTTGAAAAATTTGGGGTACGAGGGGGACTTATTTAGCACGGAGAATCTTCGTAACATAGTCCGAAAACTCCCAATCGAATTAAAGAAAGAATGGGGACATTATGTACTGGAACTAGAACCGGCCAAACCGAATTTGCTGCATCTCGACGATTGGTTACGGCGCCAAGTAAGAGTGGCCATGAATTTTGCAACGGTGACGCCAGAGGAAGAGCTCAATAGGACACGAAGGCGTGACACCAAAGTAGAACCTATTCGAAGGACCACGCTCATTACGGAAGTTGGAACCTCCGGTAGCAGTTGTACATCATGTGGAGGTCATCATCGGGTGGATTCATGCCCCCGTTTTATGGAGAAGGATGTTAACCAGAGGATAGAGTTCGTGATCACATCAGGAGTTTGTTTCTATTGTCTAAAGGAGGGACACAGGGCTCGGCATTGTAGAATAGCGAAGCAGTGTGGCATTGATGGCTGCAGAATGAGACACCACCATTTACTCCATGGAAGTCGCCGGGTCGGACGCTTCGCTTCGCCAACCGAAACGAGCGAGACTAAACAAGAGCGTGATGTGACTGGGGCCCGAGTAGTTGCAGCTGCATCCAAAGCAGATCACGTCACTACACTGCTGCAGGTCGTTCGGGTGAAGGTACTGGGGGAACAAGGACGCTCGAGAATCGTCAATGCCCTCCTCGACCCGGGAGCCCAAACATCTCTTTGCTGTGACGAGGTTCTCCGGGACCTCCAGATATTAGGTGAAAAGCGGGACCTCCAGCTGCTGACAGCCGGGGGTCGTGAGACAGTGCAGCGCGCCCAGAGGGTGACTTTAACGCTCATTCCGACTACCGAAATGTGTGCGCGCCCTATACTCGTTCCCGAGGTATTCTCAGTCCCTGACTTGCATGTCCAGGTTCCGTGTCTTGACAGGTGTTTGCAAAGCTGGGACCATGTACGGGATCTTGATGTAGCTGGTTATAACGGTCAGAAGATTGAGCTGCTTCTGGGCGCCAATATTATTGAAACGGTGATTCAGCAAGAAGCAAGGGTTGGCAAACCGGGAGAGCCTGTTGCTATCAAGACGGCGTTTGGCTGGGCGCTCGCAGGAAATGTGCGGAGCCTCGTCCCGGAACATGTGAAGCAAGTCATGTTTCTGCACAAAACAGCTTTACATGGAGAACACGATTTTCTTCAAGACTGGTGGAGCACGGAATCTTTCGGAACGAAGCACGGAACCGAGTTCCCCACGTCTGCCGAAGATAGAAGAGCGTTGAGAATTTTGGAAAGGACAACAAAACCAGTCGGAAACCGCTATGAAGTTGGATTATTGTGGAAAACAGACGATGTAACACTACCTAACAACTATAGTGCAGCTATCCGTCGCTTGATCTCGACAGAGAAAAGCTTGAAGAAAGACCCAGGAAAAGCATCATCATATGAAGAAGTGCTAATGGGATATGTAAAAAAGGGTCACGCTCGCAAATTATCAAGAGAAGAAGTAAACCACCACACATCAAAAACTTGGTTCCTCCCACATCATGGAGTATACAACCCCAACAAGGAAAAGGTACGTGTAGTTTTCGATGCGGCCGCATCCTTCAAAGGAACTTCTCTGAATGATAATTTGCTGACAGGGCCAGACATGCTGCAGAACCTGGTGGAGATTCTGTTGCGGTTTCGTGAAGAACGAGTCGCGATGATGGCTGACATTACCGAAATGTTCCATCAGGTGAATGTGCGACCGGAAGATCAACCAGCACTCACGTTTTTATGGAGAAATTGTGATACGTCCCGGCCACCTGACCACTATCGGATGTTGGTGACAATTTTCGGTGCTCGATGCAGTCCAGCAACAGCGAGCTACATTCTTCAGCGGACCGCTGCTGATCACACAGACGGTACCGCTGACTGTGAGAGAGCTGCTGCTGCTGTACGGAGTAGCTTCTATATGGATGACTTTCTTCACTCAGAGAAAACAGTTGATGAAGCAATAAGTCTAAAGAAAGGAGTTACGCGGCTTGTGAGCAAAGGGGGCTTTGTTCTGACGAAATGGGCAAGCAGTCATTCTGAAGTACTTTCAAAATCTCAACTCCCAGGCACGGGTGCGCTCAATGTAGACCTATTATGCTGTAAGCCGCACCACGAAAGGGCCTTGGGCTGTGTTTGGATTCCTCAAGAAGATATCCTCGGAGTCAAGAACCGCGTCGTCGAGGTCCCAGAGACCAAACGAGGTGTGCTTCGTCGAGTGGCTATGATTTTTGACCCCCTAGGTATCGTTGCTCCTTTCACCCTTCGAGCTAAGATGCTTGTACAACGCCTGTGGCTACTGAAGTATGAATGGGATGAAAGGCTGAAGAGCAGGGAGCTTCATGACTTCCGGTCATGGATCGCAGAGTTACACCATCTCGAGAACATTCGCATCCCTCGCTGCTATAAAGCGAATCTTTCGACAGAACCTACTGCGTACGAGCTCCACGTATTTTGTGATGCTTCGGAGTCAGCTTTCGGAGCAGTGGCGTATGTCAGAATGACAACTCTGATTCCAAAGGGGGAGAAGGCAGCCACGTGCGCCTTCATAATGGCAAAGACAAGATTAGCACCCCTAAAGCAGCTTTCTATTGCACGGTTAGAACTTCAAGCGGCAGTGCTGGCCTGCAGGCTAGCCGCGTCCGTCAAGCGATCTATGACGTACAAATTCGATCGCTCCTTTTACTGGACTGACAGCAAAATTGTGCTTGCATATATACAACATGAGAGCCGTCGCTTTCATACCTTTACAGCAAACCGTGTTTCAGAAATTCATGATCTATCAGACTGTAGTGACTGGTACCATGTTCCTGGACACCTAAATCCAGCTGACGCCTGCTCACGTGGTGCCTCAGGAGCGACACTCAGTGATCTTCTTTCATGGTGGGAGGGTCCAGACTTCTTAAAGGAGACCTCGACGATGTGGCCATCACAGACCAGCCCGCCGTCGCACCTCAGTTGTTCTGATCCGGAGGTGAAGAATTCACAGCATGTTCTGAGCACTCAAGTACACCAAACAGTGTTGCCCGATCCAGTTCGCTTTTCTTCATGGCTCGAATACACGAGAATAGTGGCTTGGGTAAACAGGTTCATGAACAACTTAAAGGCTGCTGTCAAGGGGGAAGAAAAAATATTGACTTCACTGAACGGCGGTGAGATCGAGGCTGCGATCATATCAATTATCAAAGAATCACAAAGGAAGTGTTATATGAAAGACAAAGATGCACTAAATTCTAGCGGCTCAGTGGGGTCGGCGAGCCGGTTATTGGATTTATCGCCTTTCTTGGACGACAATGGACTCCTTCGAGTTGGCGGTCGCCTCTCGCACGCTCCTGTCCCTGACGCAGCTCGCCATCCAATAATATTGAGCAGTGGCGATGAAGTGACTCGCCTGGTCGTACACGACGCTCATAGACGGATGTTGCACGCTGGAGTGGATCAAACACTGAGCGCGCTTCGCAGTCGATACTGGATCCCAAGAGGCAGGGCAACTGTTCGACGCATGCTTCACGCATGCGCCTTCTGTCGCAATCGGAGAGCGAAGCCCTGCCAGCCGAAGATGGCAGATTTGCCGCGCCATCGATTCCACGCGACGCGTCCCTTCAAAGCTGTGGGCTTGGATTTCTTTGGCCCATTACACGTTAAAAAATTTAGGAAGATTGAAAAGCGATGGGTTCTTCTCATAACCTGCCTCAGCACCAGAGCGATTCACCTAGAACTGGTGGAGTCCATGGACACTGATAGTTTCTTGATGGCTCTAAGGCGCTTCTTCGGTCGCAGAGGCAAGCCTTCCGTTGTCTTCTCAGATAATGGGTCAAATATTTCAGCTGGCGAGAAGGAGCTGAAGAGTCTCATCGAACAATGGAATCAGTCACAGATTATGGAAAAATTGAGCCAGGACCAAATCGAATGGCACTTCAATCCTCCCACAGCGAGCCACATGGGTGGAGTGTGGGAACGTCTAGTTGCTTCTGTGAAAAGATCTCTGAGAGTGGTGCTGGGCAATCAAGTTGTCTCAGGAGAAGTGCTATCCACTGTGCTGGTTGAGGTTGAAAGTGTTCTCAACTGCAGGCCAATAACATACTGCAGCGGTGACGCAAGAGATCCCGAGCCTCTAACACCCAGTCACTTCTTGCTTGGCTCCGCAGAGTCGGTTTTACCTCCCGGCATGTTCAATGACTCGGAATTACTGAGTAAGAAGAGGTGGCGACACGCTCAAGTCCTTGCGAACCATTTCTGGCAAAGGTGGAGGAAGGAATATCTGCCTACACTGATTCGCCGCGAAAAGTGGAACAGCGAATCTGAGAACCTTCAAGAAGGGGACGTTATCCTCATGGTGGATGATCAAGCCCCACGGGGGTACTGGCCTCTGGCGACTGTCACACGCACCGTACCAGGCGAGGACGGCCGAGTCCGTTCGGTGGAAATCAGAACTGGAAGCGGTCTGACGTACCACCGACCAGTCAACAAAGTGTGCTTCCTTGAAAGACTTGAGTAATTTCCTGGCTTCAACGATGCATGACTGCCAAGAAAGCTAGTGGTTCTTCCTAACACCCTTTCACTAACATGTACACGCAAGCGCTGAGATAGGTATGCTCACGTACCCATTTCTCTGCATATACTTCCCATATAGCCTGTGCAGCCCACCAACTGATCGATCACCCAACTGCCCGCCCGGAGCACGCATGGACCTGCATGGGCGCGGCGACTGCGACGCAGCCAGCCGGCAGCTGGGACGGAGAGGCACGGCGCCGGCACCACGAGGGCTGCTCACGGGAGGACCTAGCAAAATTGAGCCGGTGGAGGAGCTGACTGAATGCCGCCGCTGATATCAGCCGGCGATGACTGCTACGGACTGTTATGGACAGTTATCACTGGATGTGGCCCCTCATCGCCACCGAAGTCCGACTGGGCTGCTGCCGCTCACTTAGGGAGGGGTTCCCTCTGTTCCCGTTCGGCTGTTATCGACTGCAGCAGTCGGATGCCGGACATGCTTGGACATGCCGGACATGAACATAGAACACTGGTGGATAAGCACTACAGAGTGACATGTGTTAACGATTGGACAATGCATGGTTTAAGTGGCATATCGCGTTCCTGCGCATACGGAACTCTGGTGGGGGAGGGTGTCGTAACTACGAGTGTTTTGACGCGGAGGCATGCTTGCTAACGCGCGAGAATAGCTTTGAAATTTTACTGACAACGTTTTTATATGTTCATGATAAAAATCAGCACGGCTTGGAAAGAATGTAGGCAAATGTTTCAGTTTATACTTTATACTGCATTTACAATGATGTAATTTAAGTTGAGAGTGGCGAGAAATTGAAGATGTAATTTAAGTTGAGAGTGGCGAGAAAATGAATGGAATAAGTTGTATAGCCGAAACGATCGATCGATGTCACCGAACCGAAACGTCACCGATATGAACCGAGGTCAACGTTTGGTGAGTGTTCAATGATCATGCATTTATTATCATGCATGTATTGTCGTTACTTGCTTCGTTTTGTTAAAACTTTCATTTCCATGTATGTCAGTAGTTACCGATTTATCCACCAACGGAATTCGTGCACGTCACCTGCAGTCTGCTCAATGTATTTTCTTTTTCAGAAACCGCTAAATACATCGTGGATCAGGGCTGCACAGGCTATAACATGTCCCTAGATAGCGCGTTTTAACCCAAGGGTTATCGGTGACGACAGTGGGTGCCTACCTGTATGCCAAGTTTCAGCGAAATCGCCCCAGTAACTACCGAGTTACTGAAATGGGAACAAATTTGGCACCTCTTATTGTTGTATTTTGCACGTGCACTGGGGGTGACCCACATGCATCGAGAGTATCCTATTTTGGGTAGAAGGGATGCTGCTACCCTACAGAAATTACGGCAAGTCAATCGCCCAAGCGGTTGCTGAGATATGAGCCTCTCAAAATCACTACTTTTGCAAAACAGCTTGAACACCCTTGACTTTTCACGTGGCACGTGCCACGACGGTCACTGAGATGTATCAAAAGTAGTCAATTACGGGGTAGAAGGGATGGGGCTACCCAACAAAAAAGACCGCAGGCCAATCGGTCCAGCGGTTGCTGAGATATAAGCCTCTCAAAAGCGTTACAGGCCGGGCCGGGCCGGGCCGGGCCGCTCATACTGAGATTTTTCCGTTATATTGAAAAGACTCACTTCGCTCGCTGCGCTCGCTCGCTCGTAACAATTTGGGGGTCAAAAATCAAAATAGAAAGTTGAAATTTGGGACATCTAATGTTCTAATAGATCTCTATAACATGTATCCCGGTTTTTTGGAAATTCTCAAAATTTTGGATTTTATTAGCTGTTTTCCAAAAATATAGTTTTTTTGAAATTTTAGGGGTGAAAAACGCATTTTTTGGAAAATCCGAGATAGCCATTTTAAAGAACTCGTTGAGCTGCGTCCGTTCATGTCCTTAATTTGCAATTTGCTTTAAACCCTGATTTGTTCTGTTCTGAATTGTTCTGTCGTAGCTTTTATGTGTGCATGTGAGCGTGCAGGTATGACTGTGATGCTATCTGTGATATTTTGACAAGTTTCCCACCCATGTTTTAACTTTGTAACAACTGACACAGAATAGCCACGTCTGCACTGTGGAGTTTCTGCGGAAGTCGTAAATAAATAAATAAATAAATAAATAAATAAGTTACTGAGGTTTGAAACTCACTGAATTCAAACATCTGTAACTTTTGAAATAGTGCGGGCCAGGCTTCGTAATGAGGAGCATGTAATGTGTCCGCATACAAATTTTGACGAAAATCGCAGGGGCTCGCCGAATGACCTTGAAATTCCGTAACTTTGTGACTCCGTAACTTAAAAAAAAATATGGCGGGCCGAGCTTCACTTTTATGATATTTGTAATAAAGAGGATGTAATATGTCCGTATACTAATTTTGACGGAAATCGCAAGGGCTCGCCCAAATGACCTTGAAATTCAAACTTCTGTACCTTCGTAAATATGGCGGGCCGAGCTTAAATTTTATGGTATTCGTAATTCATTCATTCATTCATTCATATTTATTTTGCACCAAACATTGGCAAATTCCCAACAGCTGATAACAAACAATCATCAGAAATGACAAAACCGTCATGTGTCAGCACGGAGCTTAGGTCACAGGGGTCACGGCCCCCGGTGGGACGTAGCAAGTCAGCAGTCGTAGTAGGCGACGCGAAGCTTGGCTGTTGTCCCTCATCAAGAAGCGGATGCTATCTGCCAGTCCGTCTGGGGCGCGCGATGGCGTCACCCTGTGGCTGCACGACCGTCCTGCAGCTGCCTCGAGCACGGCAGAGAAGTCGTTTCCGCACATGCGGGACAGCTGGAGAAGAAGAGAGTCGCCAAGCAAGTCGGGGCACATGGCCAACTTCGTCAGGCCCGAGAGGAATGCCTGCTGGAGAGGAATGCCTGCGTATATATATGTTGCGGGCCAAGTGCGAAGGCTAGTCCATTCGCGAATCGCCTAGTCCAAGTGCGATAACGCACTTTGACTAGGCCGTTTGCGAATGGACTAGTCCATGTGCGTTATTGCAGTTGGCCTAGGCCGTTTGCGAATGGACGGGCGTTTATGCTCCCAGTCCAAGTGCGAAGTCAGGCCAAGTGCGAAATATCCAGCAAAGTGACGTCAACTTGGCAAGTCAACTTCGCATGTGCAAAGTCCCGTGTGAAATGATGCGTGCAAAGTATTGGTAACTCAACCGGCGTCACTTAACCTGGCCTGGTGACCTGACCTTAGGTCATCTGGAGTCAGCATTTTCACACAATGTGCGCAGAATATGGGAGAAAAGGTATACAAAATTTGGCTTTTCTGCGCGCCGCCGTTTTCTCGTGATCTGTGAAAAACCACAGGGGGTTGAAAGCAACCCCCCCTGCAGTGCGCGTATTGTTAAATGCAATGCAACACAACAGTTTTTCGAACACTCACCGCACCGCACTCACCACACACAAGCCGCACCGTCCCGGTACACCACACCAGAGCAGAGTGAATCGAGCGCCACAAACTCGACCAAGGTCAGGTCGGGTCATCAGCGAGGAGCCCGGAGCACGGTACTAATGGTCTCCGCACACCACGCGACTCTCCGCTGTTCGAAGGTCACGGGGATATTTGACCTCCCCAGATCCAGATCGGTGGCCGAAGCCTGGCCAGCGGCAACACGTTGCTATAATTTCCGCGTTGTGCAGGGTTCAGCGGAAAGTCGCATCCCGAATAGACCAGGTGTGTGGAGATCTTAACCCAGAGTTGCGCCAGCTCGCAGATCTGCTCCGGAGAACAAACTAAACATATAGACGCAGTGGCGTCGCCACGGATTTTCGACTAGGGGATCTGGTCGGACGGTCAGTCAAAGTAATCCCCACCAAATACTGAAAACTCCTCGGATTTAGACAATTTTATTTTGAGAATGCACCAAAATCGTTTTTAAAATATTTTATTTTATTCTTGATCGATTTTCGTGGCCAAAAGTGTGTGTGTGGGGGGGGGGAGGGGGGGGGGGCGTCGGACCGACATATTTTCAAGAATGTGTGTGTGTGTGGGGGGTCCGGACCCCTCCGACCCTCCCCCCGTCGGCGACGCCCCTGCATCGACCAGCGGTCCCCCATTCATTCGGAATCGTACCCCAATCCGAGGATCCATGCTTCCGGCGGCTAAGTGCAACGCCACAAACCCGTCCGTTCGCAAACGGCCTAGGCCATTCGCGAATGGCCGGCCATTCGCAAACGGACTAGTCCGTTTGCGAACGGACCGCCATTCGCAAACGGCCTAGTCCATTCGCGAATGGACTAGTCCGTTCGCAAACGGACTAGCCTTCGCACTTGGCCCGTAACATATATATTAATGAGGAGCATCTAGTGTCCGTAAGCAAATTTTGACGGAAATCGTAGGGGCTCGCCCGAATGACCTTGAAATTCAAACATCCGTAACTTCGTAAATATGGTGGGCCGAGCTTTGATTTTGGATGCATCGTAATCAGGACGTTACGTACGTAAGTTTGTTACGTAAGTTACGTAAGTTTGGTCCAAATCGTAGGGGCTCGCCTGATTCCGAATCTTAGATTATATATTAGGATTTACTTACATCTAACTTGACGACCGTATTATATTTTATGAATGCTTATGATTACATTGCTAGCGATCTGTATCTGTTGACGAGAGCAGGAAAGAAAACACTAATTAAAGGGACTGTCCCACCTTCAAAAATTGCTTGGATATACTGTTCTTGTGTTGCAAGTCATAGATTAGGGGCCCCTTTACACGAAATTGGCAAACATTCGGCCCATAGTTGGCTAATTGTTTAAAAATTCCAATTTAAAGCTTTTGGATCGATTACGTCATATGATTGTTTTTTTATCGGGCAAAGTTTTTTTCCTAGCTGCCAAATCGGTGGCACAAAGTTTTGTTACGCTTCTGCCGCGAATAGTATAAACATTGCGCATGAAATCAAAACTCAGGAAATTGGTATTTTAGTAACATGTTCAATGTTCATGGAAAGGATTCAAACGAAAATTGGAGAATTGAAGCTCGAACTTTGTCCAGAAGAAGGTCGCAAACTGCAAAGAATATCAACAAGGCGTTATTTATCATTTTTAAAATATTATAGAATGCTCCCTAATCATAATAAGCAAAAGCAAGATATTGATATTGGATTATTGATGCTGCCCACAATGTCTTGGGCACATGATGGAAAAGAGCTCAACTTCAATAATTATCAAACCTAAGAAGCACAATGGATATAGCCATGAGCCAGACTGCAAAGTATGGCAATGTTGTCTAGATTTTGTCAGTGCAGACTCCTTCGTCTGGTGCGGTTTTGGTGTGGCGCGGTGCGGATTTGGTTTAGTGTGGTGCAGATTTAGTGTAGCTGGTGCGAATTTGGCTTGCTGTGGTGCAGATGTGTAGCATTGTGGGGATTTGAGGTCAATGCAGATTTTGACTGGCCATTTTGGGCTTTGGTGCATTTTTTGTTTACTCTCAGTCGAATTTTTGGGCTCCGTTTGAAGGGTTTGTGTCAATTTTGAACTTGGGCCAGTGCTCCTTGGCGACCTGCGGGCTGCGAGCCATACTCTGTAGTTCTGGCCTGGGCCCATGAGCAAAGTAATATAATATAGTCTATTCAAGATTCAATATAATAAGTCTGCAAAACACATTACAGCAATTGTAATTGAAGCAGAATGAATTGTAGTGACCTGCATTTGTATTTTTGTTGTGTCTGTGAAAGAATAATAAATATACCTACCTATTGGAAAAATCGTGGCCTTTCAGCACATTTGGCAGAGTTGTGTGATTCTGATTTAGGGGCTCATGTGGAACGCAACGAGCTGCGGAACAAGCTTGAGTAGCATTTTGCCTCAGGGCTATCTGCCAGAAACATTTCATCTGCATACATTTGCCTACAGGCAAGTCTGACAAATTTGTGGATTAACTGGGGACCTTGTAAGCCTGCATATTAAATTCTAGCCCACCAGCTCAGCCTTATTCTCAGTTTCAGCATTCAGCATGATAACAGTTCTGATCAAGTTCTGATTGTCACCACTGAGACCCCAATGGAGTCCTCTGAAATTTTGCCTTTTTATTAAATTATTTGTAAGAGTTCCAGCTACATTTAGACCAAACGTTTCACTCTCAAA